GGAAGAAACTGCTTTTAAAACCTGGCAACCAATTTTCTTTTAGTGGTTATATTGTTTTTTGGTTTTTTTTTTTAAATAGAAAATATTCGTGACGTTTATACACTAGTGGGTAAGCGAGCGCACCCTCTAGTAATTCAATAATAATTGTACGATATAAATTTATACTGATGCTTGTTTACGCTCTCAACAAAGTTAAACTAGAAACTAGCTTGTAAAAAATCATAGTAAATAATAAATATTTAAATTTGGTTTGCAGTGTAACACTGCACAACAAATAAAGAATACTGTAACAGGCCTACAACAGTGCTCTAATAGGAATTATTGATGTTAAGAAAATATGACGTTTAATAGACCTTGTTTATTTGCGCCTTATAAATCAATGTATTATTACTATTACCATTATTACTATTACCATTATTATTATTATTAATATTATTATTATTATATTTTTTTTCGGTTGTCATTTGTATGAAGGAATGTCTCTGTAGAGATTCCAAGCTGCAGCCACTCGCTAACAAGGCAAGTGCTATACCGCTAGACCACGAATACCTAATTCGGTATAGGCCAGATATAATCGCCACACATTTTCTCTCATGCAACTGATACGCTCGGACTGAATATCGAAGCCAAGAATTAGCTAGGAAATGATATTTAAATTAGGTTTGCTGTGTAGACTTACAGCCCACTTATTGACCATGAAGTTGATTTTTCGTTGGTAACAGTTGGCAATCAATCATTATCAAGGAATTGGAAAAACAAAAAAACAATAACAAAACAAAAAAACAAAAAAAAAAGCTCTGAAAAAAATTAAAAACAACAAAGGAATTATTATCAATAAACAGGACAAAGAAAATGGAGTAATCGTGATGAACAGATATAATTACTATAGAGTACACTCAATATCGAATCACACTAAATTTAACAAATCAAAGGCTGACCCTAAAATTATAAGGGAAGGATTTAATTATCAACTTTAGAGTGATATTTTACCCACTAGACGTGTAATCGTACCGAATACTCAGTATGTCCCCAAATACTAGTGGAAAAAAATTGCAAGAGATTCGGGTGGGAAACGAACCGACGACCTACAGGTATCCTGCCTGATGTCTTAACTACTAGACCACAAAGCTTGCGCATGGTGACTACTGATGAATCCGAGTTCTGAGTTCTGGAAGTTCGCATCAAGAAAATATCATAGGAGTGATGTTTTGCTCTACCTGATGTGTAATCACACCAAATACTCAGTACGTCTCCAAATACTAACGAAAAAATTTGCAAGTGATTTGGGTGGGTGCTTGTTTCCCTGGAAGGGGGGGGGGGTGTTCTTTCCCCTCCTCAGTTTTTCCCCCTGAAAAGAAGAAAAACCACAATTTGTCGGGGAGAAAAAGAATAGTATGTATTTTCTACATATTAGTAGACTATAGATATATAAAATCAGTTAAATAAGCCTTTTATTAGATGCATTAATGCATTCATACTATATATATATTTATAATTTATATTGCAAACCTGGACAGTGTATTTGGTATTCGGCATTATATTTTCATTAATTGTCAGTGAAGTCGCTGTGATATCCATAGTGAAATTTAAATTCTGTAAATCACTATATACAAGCACATTGTATCCAAGTATTGTACACGGATTATCATTAGATAATGTCAATTCCAGTGTGATTGATGAAGACGTTGATGTTAACAAACTAATTGTTGGTTTTCCAGGATCTGTGGGGAAATATATTAATACAATAATAAAAATAATAATAATAATAATAAAAATATTAATAATAATAAAAATATTATTATTATTCTTATTATTAATATTATTATTATTATTTAGTATAAATATACAATATAGTATAAAATATTCTATTTTAAATGGATTTAATTTTCTACACCTCAAGAGGAAATGTTTGATATCTTCTTTGATAGTTGACATAAAGTGCAAATATGGGTTATCTATATATTCCTAGAAATTATTTTCTCATTTACTGATAGTGTATTTGATCTATCTATAAATTCTAACCTAAAACCTATAAAACAATTTTGATTTTTTAAACAATTTTCTACTTTTTATTACTTTTATGTTGTCAAGCATTGCATTAATGGTATTTGAATAGAAAGGATAACATACAATATATTATAAAGGAAAAAAATGTACTAAAAATTAAACCAAGAAAAATGTTAATGATGTGTTTTTAATAAAAAAAGCTCTTTACATTCGTATAAGATCAAAAAAAGGCTTACAGTCAACACCAGACATGACCTCCATATGATCAGTAATGCTGCTAATGTTCATATACGATGCTAAAACTGAAAATGTGTACTGAGTACAAGGTACAATTCCGTCATCTATAAGAACTTCAGTTTTTGTTGTACTTCCTTGGTGGACTCCTTCTAGTTGATAATGGTAACTCAATTTATATTGGGTGCTGTTACAGGTAGCAGCATTCCATTTCATTAATAAAAACGTTCTTTCCAATACTGAATTGTTGGTAATTGAGGGCGCTGTTAAAAGACAACAACATTGTGTTAATAAATAGAATCCATCCATCAATTTAAATATTCATAGTAAAAAATAGAACAAAAGCCAAAAATCACAACTTCTAACTCTACATATGAAAAATTTAATTAATTTAATGTATTCAGCATTTGTACATTTTCTATCCAACACAGGAAAATGTTTACTATAACTCATTGAGAATCTGCTGCCAATATAATATTAACATAAAAAAAAAAATGTCAACAAGCAGCAATAATTATGAAGCAACAGTTAGATATAGACACATAACAATTTATTTTATTTTAATTTTATTTTAAACATCATTCAACAGCTACAGTAAAGCCATCATACAATGGTACAGGATGTCTTAAATACATATAAAAAATATGAAAATACTATATAAGTGAATGTTTAATTGATTCCTTATGGTGACATAATTAATGTCGAAATATTGAATCCCAAAACGATGGGATGCATTTCAATACTTGGAGTATGTATTATACTTTCTTATCTGAGATTAATCAGTGGACCTTTCGGTGAATGATTAATTACAGTATAAACATTATTAAATTGGAAATGTTCACAATTTTAAAAAGATATTGCAAAACATTATAAAAAGGACGGAGAGAACACGATATCAATTATATAAAAAACATTGAAAATACTGTATAAAGGATTTAAAATTATTGACACAATTAAAATATTGAAAATTAGAATTAGAATTATTATTGCATATACATAAATATACAAATATATAAAATACTTATAAAATACAAACAGAACACAAAACACAAAGTCCAATGGTAACACACATTTAAAAGACAATACAATAGAAATCATAAACATAAACATCACTAAAACAGCAAGGATATAAAACTAAGATATGTTTAGCGTTATCCTCATTCATTCATTTATTTTATTTAGGCACGATAGCATTTCAACACAAAGGTTGTTTTACAAATGGTCGTGTATACCCAAAAGACAAATATAATATAATGTATAATAGAATTATATATAGTATAATAATTAATGATCCATTGAAACTCCATTGACTTGGGGAAAGCTAGGCGTGTTGTTTAACTTCTTTGTAGTAACACTTTGGAAGTAAATGTTTTTATCGCTGTCGATATTCGCCAATGTGCCATTGTTGCTAATATTTAGAAGCTCTTTGGGTTGGACTCCATGGACACACTTCTTTAGGACTTTACCTTGTCTACTCTGCAACAAGCAGTTTGAAAAAATTTTACCATCATCTATCATCATCTGTACGCTATTCATCGTTAGACATTGCGCTTTTTACCAACTCGAGCCAGTGCTTTCTGTCATGGGCCAAGTGTTTTAGTTGGTCTTCCTACATGCCTTTAAACTTTCCTGTCACTTTCATTTAGCGTTATATTCGCTGCAGAATCTTCTGGGAGTCTAATTAGATGGCCGTACCATTTTAATTGTCACCTTTTCATATAACGGCTCGATTAAGGATTAAAACATTTAATTACATTAATACTAAGTTAATATATTTTTTGACCTCTACATTGCTACTAATTGTTACTAAATTGTAAGTAGTTGTTGTCATCTGGTATATATGTTTCCTGTACTTCCTGTTCATTCTGCCTAAGTAATTAATCTGATTTCTGGGGCATTAGCAATTTTGTGTGGCACAACCTTATACTTGCAAACTGTACAGTACTATTTTCTATAAAGCTTGAAAATCTGCTTGTTAGGTTGTTAAAGCACACTTAGGTACCCAACAGAAAAAAAAAAGAAATAATTGAATTATTCGTGGCCTGCTAAATTGTCAACAGTGTGTCTCTACAAACATTAAAAAATCATTTAAACTGGAGTTCAGTACAACGTAATTATTTCACCCAGGGGTGGCGCCAGTGCCCTCTCCGTTGTCGAGAGCTGCTGGTCGGGGAGAAATACACGCTTCTTCGGGAGAAAAAAAACTATATATAATTTTTTACATATTAGTAGATCTTGAAATCGATTAAATAAGTCGCTGAATTGTCCCCTGGATCATTTCCAAGAGGTTTTGAGCGACGCTCAGACACGCCAACTTGTGTTCTCGTAGGAAATTCGGCCACCTGTTGGGGACATCGGACCCCCTGGCGGGCAAGTCCTTGAGCAACCCCTGATTTTATCCACTCTCTTAAGTACGTAGGCCTACTTATGGTATGTTTACTAAACCTTGATATTTTGATTTAGTGATGAACATCATACCATATATCCATTCAACAATTATGGAGAGAAGCCCATAAATATAGAGCGTATCACACACACAATGCAGGCTAGCGGGTAAGGAAGTGTATATTAAACTAAAAGACGATTAGAAGAGATGGTTTAATATTGTTTGAAGGTTTGCATGGTGAAGTAATATTATATATTAATGCTTGCGGTACACCATGTAGATGTTTCTCAAAAGAACTGTTGTTGTTGGTTAAGAATATCTCGACGATTGAGTTGCTTCACAAGCCCGTAGCCAGGATTTTGGTAGGGGGGTTCTTTTTGATACTGAAAGGGCGACTTGCGAGCACCATTGGCTGGGGCGAGGGGGGCTGCCAGGGCCCCCGGAGGGGTCCAGGGCCAAAGCCCTGGTGGGGGTCCAGCATTCTAAGCATTTACAGGTGTTATTTAATTGATTTGAGAGTCCATACATTAAAAAAAAATGTTTATATTAAAGAGGTAATTTTTTGAGTTGGGGAAAAACAAAAAAAACAAAAACTGCTACATTAGTACTACAGTATTGGTGATTTAACAACAGTAGCATGATACAAACTCCAAAGAATCCAGTATGGTTTATTCTTTATTTTTTATTTATATAGCACTTTGGAAGTTGTATCATACTATACTCACTTAAGAAAATCAATAACAAAAACGAACCGAGGTTACTAGGTAGGCCTAACAATCAGGTATTAAAATAGAACTCTTAATGATGATAGGCGAGGGGGGGGGGGAAGTCAAAAATGCATATTCATGTGTACACAGACACATCTAACACATGCAAAAAAAGTAATTTGCATTCATTGTGCTCTTGAAATTTGACCCTGACCCTTCAAAAATTTAGTCAAATAAAAAAAAACTTTGTCAAGGAAAAATGTGGCCGAGTTTGACAAGTTTCTGATAAAATATACTGTTATATACTGTTATATAAATAAAGTAATTTTTTCAGTAGGACCTTGACCTTTGACTCTTCAAAATTCAATAATCTTTAGTTTGTGGTCATAAAACATTGTGACCAAGTTTTACAAATTTCTAATACAAATTGTGGACTGTTGGCTGTTATATATAAAAAGGTAGTTTTTTACCAACTGTGACTTTGACCTTTAACTTTGACCTTTAAAATTTAATGACGTCCAGGTTTCTGGTTATGTATAATTGTGACAAAGTTTGACTAGTTTCTGATGAAAATTGTTGGCTGTAGGATGTTATATAAAAAAAGTAGTTTTTGTGGATTTTTACCTTGACATTTTGGCCCTGACACTTCAAAATTGAATCATGAAATTATCAAGCAAACAACAAATAAATAGGGGCGAAAACATAATGTAATTGGCAGAGATAATAAAATAAACAATATTAAAGCAAAAAACATTAACCTGAGGGCGCTGATTGTACCGATATTGGCTTTCCCCAATCTCCAGTAATTTCTGCGTTATTAACAACTCTAGAGTCGACGTGATAAAAAACACATCCTGGTGATAATCCTATGTTGACTTCTGTTTGTAAGCCATCCGTTGTGTTGACAATGCCATGTTCATTTCCATTTTTGTTTTGGTGTCGCACTTGATAACGAAGTATATCATCGCATTGGATTTGCTCGGGAGCATTTGATACAGGCTATTAGAAAAAATATAGGCGAAAGCCTTTATAAAATGTCTTTAATATCTTAATTTAAAATTACTTATTGTTAATTACAGTAGTTGTTTTGATTAATTGTGAGAATAGGCAAGGATCAAAATTGGAATCATTGTACAGTAATTGAAATAGGCATATACTTACCTTCAATTTTAAGATAATCTCATTACCTTTAACTGTTGTCGATTCTATTTCTGGCTCTTCTAAAGGCTCTTTAAAAAAGAAATATTGTACAGTATTTATAATTATTGAGGCTTTAATAAAAATGTAATTACAATATAATGGTAGCACAACAACTCCTAAGTTTATTCAATAGCTATGCTACATGCTTATAGCTTCATGAAATGAAAACATAAAAAACTATTATAGGCCTACACATTAATAAAACCTATTATGTTTTCTGTAACATGAAACAATCATTGTGCTAAACTAGAACACAGCAGCATATATCAATATTTTGACACATACATGGTCCCATTGGTGGCATTCACTTTGTGTTCAACCTAGCTGGAGAAATGCTTTGCTAAATTGCGTTGGTTCAAAACTTCAATTAGCCGATTTTAATAAAATTCAAAACATATAGAATGCCGTCATATTTAATATGTATAGACCAATATTTGCTATTCAAGCATGGAAATGACTGAAGTGTCGTGCAGAAAATTCTGTGCAAAAATTTAAAAAAATAGGATAGAAGAAAAAAAATCAAACAAACCAATGGCTAATGCAAGAAAAGTCAAACATTTGAACAAAAACACTGACTCAATCTGTGTTAAAAAATCTGAATAAAAATCAGATTAAAAAATCTGAATATTACTTTGGCACCCTTGTCCCATGTAATCAATCGAACAAGATGACCCGGATGTACAATTCCCCGTCTTTCTGTCATATTCACCAGAAACGCTTTTTCCGCTAATGTGGGAAAAGGCAATATTAGATGATCAGCAAGTAATTGGGCTTACTTGTGCATATAGTCTCTGCTGATCCATGATTACTAGGTGGTCCATTGGTTTCTACGCCGGCAACTAATCTCGAGTGTTGTGTGTAGAATTCAACAGTCATGTGTAGTGTAGGCCTAAGATTGTCGATGATATATACACCATTTTCAGTATTATTAACTGTAGTGAACGTACTTGTCTGCGATGTTTTATACCATAGCGTACATCTTGTAATATTCCCTGTTCCAAAGTCTTGAACTGAATCCCAGCTGCAGGCGGCAATCTTTAGGGTGGTAGCTGTTTGATTCAAGAGTGTTGGCGGTTTGGAGCTGTAAGGTAGTGCTAATAATAATAACACTCATTATGAATACATATTTTAAATATAATTAGGCTGCAGGGGCCCCCACCCCCACCCCCACCCCCTCCTTTAGGAAGGTTAAAAAAAAAGAAAAAAAAGAAGAAAGAAAGAAAAAGAAACAAATGATCGCCAAAATGCCTCAGAGGTTATTTTAGGGCGTGTAGAACACAAAAAGTTTGCGGGGAATGCACTGGACCCCTCATGAAAGTGTTATCTCGATCTGCACCACTTCCGGCCCCATTTTTGGACATCTCTGTATCCGCCCCTGGGGTGGCGAAAGATACATTGAATGAATTATTTATAGGTATAACATGCGGCTTCATAGAAAAGAATATATGTTGGTTAATCTTGGAAATTCTATTGCAATTATACAAAATTGAGATTTAAGCTCAATTTAACACAAGTAAATGTATATTTGAAGACGTATATCGTTACCTATGCTGCAGTCCTCTCCAGCCCATGCTTCGTGGCATCCATTGTCACAACTTCCATTACGATTACAATCAGCAGAGCCTTTGCAATGACATGGATAGTTACACAACACACCAAAGAAACCAGATGGACAGGACAGGCCTGGCAGTAATTCTACAACAAAATGCGACATCATTGTTATCTTTAAATGTTGAGTCAAAAGGTACTAGTTAGGTCTAAATTAACTTTTTAACTATTACCATTAATGTTCACATGTACTCGTATTTTGAATTATTCGACTTCACAATATTCCTGTCCTATTCATGTAGTTTTAAAAATGTTCAATTCCTTTTAAAATTGGCCCTAACAAACTAAAAAAATAACAGTATTAAATTAGGTGACTATAAACAAATATTTGTTTAGAAGTCTTTCATTATTTTTTCATCATGTTTAAACAGGATTTTTTCTGACCATCTCTTCCCATGAAAGAAATATTTAAAGAAATATGTAGCATAAGATTATATTTTTATCTTTTCATGAAAGAGTACATATGCCTAGACTGTGGTCAACCTCTCCTCCCTCAAAGCCTATGCATATTTCCTTAGCGTCCCCTTCAATTTAGGGCCGATAAGGTATTTTTTATTGAAAATCAACAATTTGCACACAATTGCTAAATGAATCGTAAGCGTAATAGACATCTTGAGGATATTTCCCGTACGATTAAAATCGTAACGGTACTGGGTTTGGTATACAGGAGCTCGTGTTTCGTACAGGTCATTCCATTCATAGAAAAAGCCTTTAATGGTGAAAGCGTACCTGTCATTAGCCGTAGTAGCCTAGGTCAATACATAACACCGGCTGTATAAAATTTATTATAAGATTGAAAATGATAATCCTATTATTGTAGTAGTGATACTATGTACACGTTTTAGTTATTTTTATTTATTCATTAACGTTATTATATTAATACTTAAATTTAATGTATTGTTTAAGTATGAAATACTATGTCAATGTTAAATTAATCTTTCTATTAAAATTGTTTATTTAAATAGTAATAGGCATAGCCGAGGTCTAGCCTAAACTAACCTAGTTCTAAATAATAAAAAAATGACTATATTTGAGTGTATAAAATTATGAAAAATATGAAAAAAAACCCGCAAAATTGTGAAAGAATAAAGGAAGAAGGAAGAATATGAAAGAGATTTGGAGCGGCTGAAATAATAACTGAAAATATACAATAGTAGTCAATATGCTATTATTGCATTACGTTTTTGTAAACAATTTTGGGCATTTATCGTCAGGTCTCGGTGCCACAGTCTACACTTTTCATAATTCGAAATCGAACCGGACCTTTAAAGTGATTTCCAAAATCTCTTTATATGAAATAAAGAATAATTAACGTTTAGAAAACAAACTAAAACAAATGTCTTACCTGGAAAGTACGTGTAAATGTACAATATGATCGGACGAACATTATCATGAGTGCATCGTTGTATGTGTTTCTGTTGTTTGTTTTGAATGATGATGATGAACGTTCTTTTCCGTTTGTTTGAAAATTAATTCACTACTAAAAAACATAGCTTCAGGTAAAAAATCTATTAAAGATGCATTGTCCCCTGAAATATGGCGTAACAGGTGGGAGGGGCCCTCTTGACGCATGCAAAGTGAATGACCGGACCGTGAATTTATATATTAATATGATAACGTTAACGAATAAATAACAATAACTAAACCGTGTACATAGTGTATCACTACTGCAATAATAAGATTAACATTTTCAATCTTATAATAAATCTTATACAGCCGGTGTTATGTATTGACCTAGGCTACTATGGCTAATGACAGGTACGCTTTCACCATTAAAGGCTTTTTCTATGAATGGAATGACCTGTACGAAACACGAGCTCCTGTAGACCAAACCCAGTACCGTTACGATTTTAATCGTACGGGAAATATCCTCAAGATATTAGAATATGCTTATTGCAATACAGTAGGCTATTGAGAGAGCAGCTTAGCTCAGCTGCCTCTCCTTGTGTTTCAGCTAGAGGGCCGAAATACAAGTTACATAGCGCACCGTCTTTCGGATGAGACGTTTAAGCCGTAGGTCCCGTGTGCATTTATGGCCCATGTGCACGTTAAAGAACACAGTACACTCTTCGGAAAAGAGTAGGGGATTGTCTCCCGGTGTACTGTCCAATCACCACCAGAAGGACCCCACTTCTTCTAGACTTTCGTGGGCTTTCCTTGGTGTTTACACCGAATAAATCCTATCCAATCCAATCTACTAACTTTTTAATTGAATTAAGTTTATTTTGGATGCAAGGTACAGTATAATTAAAATATTTAATTACCTTTGTTGCCTATATGTAGATTAGTATTTCTAATAGGAATATTAAAATAAGCTTTGTTTTTACGTAATTATTACTATATTTTATACAAAATAAATATACTATTACTCATAAAATTTGACAACTAAAATCTGGATATTACCTTGGCACGCTGGTCCTGTGTAATTATTAGAACAAGATGACTCGGATATACAATTCCCTGTCTTTCGGTCGCATTCACCTGAATCGCAATGACATACTTGACGGCAATCTGCTCCATAGTGATTGTTAGCACATTCTGTGAAAAAGTACATTTTAGGAAAATCACATTGTTAGTCGATTAGTACCATATATTTAATCTTGTATGAACATACGATACGAGCGACAGTTTTTATTCATCTTGTTCAATTAAAATATGCAGAGTACAACCTTATTGCTGTTACTTGTTTGTGCCCTGGGTCTGTGCAAAGAATTTTATACAATTGTCTTCCTTTATTCATGAGTTTTGAATTCCATTGTGCTGATTTTTGGAATGACTCATCACACTTTCACATTTTATAGGTTCGACAACGAAAATAAAATAAAGCCTGTATATGCATTATCCAGTAATATACTGTAATATTGACATCATTTATAAACAAAAAGAACAAAATAGTTATAAACTTCTCGAACCTATACTGCAATTGTTGCCTCCGAATCCGTTGATACAGGTGCATCCGAAAGGATCAGGCGGACAAAAAAGCTTTCCTTTACAACCTTCGTCAACTCCAGTAGAACAAACAACATCACAATTACGACCCCAGTTGTTGCTTCCACAAGCTACACAAACAAAAAGAAAGTATAAACCGTAAATACCGAAACATAACATATTTTATGAAAAAAGCACTTACAATTTTAGGCTGATGACTTTATTATTTTAAGATTTCTTATATATTTACTATTGAAATATATAAATATATAGAAACATGTGTTTCCGAGTACTTAAAGGTAAATTGAATTAAATTAAATTTAAGTTTGTTGGCTTACATGTTTGGCAGTATTCTCCTTTGAAGCCTGCGGGGCAAATACATATACCGGTCTTGTCGTCACAAACTCCACCGTTATAACACACAGGACAATCAATCTCACATTCAGGGGGACTCCATTTTGGCAGCGGACAATCTAAGTAAAAAAGTGTAAAAAAAAAAGTGAGTCTAAGGTGAATACAAAATTAAATTAAAACACAAATTTTATTATTAAGACTGTCTAAAAATTTTTTTTTTTGATTAATGAGCGATGATAATTTTAACTAGATACATTTGCAGCTTTCATGTTTACTCTGTTTTTGGATTAAGATACGCTCCCTGACGGTATAAGAATTTTAGTCTGGAATTAACCTTTCTGAGAATAGACAATGCAATAGCTTCTCCATTCAAAAATTTATGAAGTTCCAAACCAAGGTATGTGATGGAGTCACTACATTGTATTTCTTGACCATTGCAAAAGATACTACAGTTTTCAGCAACAAATCTTTTTTTCTAGATGAGAAAATAATGAACTCATTTTTTTCAGGATGTAAAGACATGGAATTGTCAACTAGCCATTGATGGCAATTATTAAGGTTTGGACTTAACCTTGACCTGATAATGTTCAGGTCCTTATGACCTACTAACAAGACATTGTCATCCTTGTATTGTAACAGAAGGCATTCAACAGCATTTCACATGTTGTTCACGTGGCAAAGAAAGAGGATTGGGCCTAACAGGCTCCCCTGTGGAACTCCACCGGTAAACTCCATACTTTCCGATCTCAGGTTGTTGACATCGACAACTGGTCGTAGTCAAGTTGTCAATAGCGAAGATAGAAGCTGAACCAGCTGATAGAAAGGACAATAAGAGCCACACAATACGACATGATCAATGCTGTCGAATACCTTCTGGATATCCAGTAGAGCCATACCGACAAATTTGCTTTTGAATGAGTCCTGAGAATAAGCGAGACAATTGTGTCAGTTGTCTTTGACAAAACCCATCTGAACCCTGACTCGAATGTGCACAATAAATCGTTGCTTTCTAAATATTCATTAAGCTGAATTAACACAGATTTCTCAAGAATTTTGGAGATTGTCTGAAGAACACCGATTGGATGGTAGTTACAGAGGTCCCAAGTTGGTGAAGTAAAATTTCTTGGTAATTTGTTGTTTACTGAAGTGAATTTTCTAGGTTATTTTTTTTGTTTATTAACTACATGTATGACATACAAATTGAACGTGTGTCATGCCGTTCAATATTTAACAGAAACAGTAATAGTTCGCTTTATGTAAGTTCAAACTATAAGCAAAGCAAGTCATTTTCAGGTTTTATTGAACTTAGGTGGTGGTGCAAAGCCATACGTTGTTTAAATTAAAAGTAACCTAATTCACAATGACAATTCTATATTTTCTGAGAAAAGCTGTAAAATTCTAGGAAGCGGGGATCATCCATCAAAATCTGGGTAACCCGCAAATTTCTGGAAACTTGGGAGGTGTGTTACCAAGGTGAAAATTTATTTTTCTATTTATATAAAGGTTTGAATTTTTCTTGTTTGAGCATATCAGGGACTTGCTCCATCTTAATGGAAGTATTTATTAGGTGTGTTATGGGGCTGCTCATATAATCAGCAGCATCTCTTATGAATCTTGGTGGAATACCGTACAGACCGGTGCTATTCCGAGGATTATCATGCTTCATTTCATTGAGGATAAAGTCCTCGTGAATCTCTTGAAGAGAAAAAGTACACTTAATATGACAATAATAGTCTTTAAATCTTCGGGAGCAAAAGTAAATGATCAGTTTAGATGAAGGAAGTACTGTACTTTAACCAGCTTTTGGGAGGTTTGGTATGTATTAGAAGGTTTGGGACAAAAGAACTTCTGTGGGAACATTTTGTATTTTCTCTGTTGTCATCAAAATACATTTTTCTGATTGGATGGGTCCAAAATTGTTTAGGCATAGGCCAACATTAAAATTTCTATTGTTAATCTTACAGTGAATATAAATGTTAAATAAATCGAAATGGAAATCGAAATCAAAATTCATAATAATATCAGACAACCTTATTTTACATTTTTTCAAATGTCAAATGAGGGATTCCATGGAATTGTCAGGCATTAGGCCTGCACCAATGTCATGATTTATATAATTCTGTCCTCAATCATATTAAGCCTATGTTGTAAAAGTATCAATAATGGTCATTTTATGTTAATAATTGATAATTCTCAGTGCAGTGTGCGAAAAGCGAAAAGGCTTATTTGAAGAGGCAATTTGCGGTCCTCTTTGACAGGTATACCATCAGTATAGCAATAATTTTTGGCTTTTATTTTGGTCTAAGGAGGAGTCTGATTTTACTATGGAGCTACAAGGATGGACAATGTCTCATCTGCCGTGAACGATTCGGTTTTCTTCAGGGGTCACGACAGCAAAGGGGGAGGGGGAAGTCCCCACCTCCGTGTCGTGGAAAAAACTAAAATTCGTCGGGGAGAAATAAAATTGATTCTTTTTTAACCCCCTTGCAATGCTGCATAAAGAAGTCAGTGTGTTCATTTTGTGTCAAAATCTCTTGCAATTTACTCTTTCGCAAACTATCTGAAAGATCCTCCCATACTTTGATAGGACGTCCAGGTTTGGGTTGTTTTTACAGTAAGTCTCTTGTGGGTTTTCTGCTGGTGTAGAAGGAATATCTCTGTTCTGTGTCAAAACATTAATAACTTTATCCAAAAATGGAATCCTGTTGTCAAGCCACGGGTTATTTTTTTGTAGAAACCCAGCAAAACGTGTGTTTACTAACTTGAATTTATGTTGTTACACATTTATGGTTCTACAAAATAAAGTTTTCAACACAAAACTGTAACTTTATTGTCACGTTATCATAATGTTTACTGGGAAGGTCGTTACTACTTGCGTAGTTGAAACAGGGAGCTGCTTTTCATTCTTGGATGTCTTTGAATAAAGTTAAAAACAATTGATGTCTAGATTTCCTTATCATAATATTTGGATTATTACACTGCTCAAAGTTTAATAAAGTTATTCTAAACAGCAACAAAATATTGGAAGATTTGCTATTAATATTAAATCATGAGCAGGTTGTCAATTTTAGGAGAGTTTTTTTCCCTTTGCATAAACTGGTTGAGTAGACGCGCGTTTTACGTGATTGTGGTTTACTCTAATTAAATTGTGCCTCAAACATACGAAAACAAGATTGATAAAAGTGTGTCTAGCTCGTGAAGTTGCAAAAAAGTTGCAGCTGAATTTGGTACCATCATAATAATAATAATAATAATAATAACTTCATTTAATAAAGCGCAAAACAATATCCATTAAAAATGTTCATCGGCGCTGTACAGAATTTAAAAATATTCATAGACCAACATACACTTTAAACATACATAAAAATACATACATACATACATAGAAATATACATTAAAAGCTAATAGAAATGTCATAAAGCTAAGACGATACAGAAGATGGTGATGTAAAAATTAAAGCATAAAAAAAAAAAAATTAAAGCATAAATCCACATGAATCTGAACTTTCTCTCCTACTTTTCTAAAAATAGATTTTTAAATATTTTTTTTTAGTTGTTTAAAGAACGATTTATTATTGATGCAAACTTCAAATTTAAATCAAAACATATATTTGTGTTTCGCAATTTATATACAAAAAAAACGTGTACACTTTGAAGTAATTCTGAATTTTCCGTTTAAGAAAAATAAAGTGTTTTGGTATAATGTAGTCAATTATAGCATTTGAAATATTTATAGAGAAATTTCTGACATTTGTTGAAAACACCCACCTTTAAAATTTGTTTAAATTAAAATATTTTCAGGATAGATTCACCAGGGTATACCCTTCTTCAATCACGTGAAAAAAAGTGTAAAAGCCAGTCACCAAAATGGACTTTTGGCACACTTTGAGTTCACCCTGGCCCACTGTGGGGCGGTATAACATACTCTGACGGACTGATTTACGCCATATAATTGTCAACACTTGGACAATTAAAAAATGACACCAGTCACTGTATCAAGTGTCATTAAACAATGGGGCATAAAATTAAGTAAAAAAAAAAAAATAGCTCCATAATTGAACCACTGAATTTAGTATAGCTTTTAAAAAGTTTCGACAACAATTTCACATATTATTGCACTAATAATTATTTCTCTGTTCTCCATCAATCCAACATTCTATTGATTGTGAAATTATACTAATGTGGTTTTCATGCCTATTTACCTCTGACAATGAGTCTCATTACACCGCGGTTGTCACTGGGACTACCACTCCTATAACATTCATATACCCCGTCATCTTTAGCGCGTATATTTTCAATCGTAACAGACGAGTTACCATTCCACATTTGAACTACATCACCATAATTATGTCTCCAGCGCAAATCGTTAAAACCGCCGTCTTCACTGAGGCTAATAGTGGCGGATTCCCCAGTGCCGACAGTCAGCGTTCTAAACTGCATTCTAATGGTGGCTGTGGAAAATACATTCAATATATTAGTATATTAAAAAAAATCACTTAATATGTGTAGTGTAATTATAATGATGATAATGATGATGATGAAAGGCGTAGTATATAGATAAATAACGACCACAATGGCGCACGAAATTGAACCTTGTCAAGTATCATTTAAAAACGCCTGTTGTTTGGTAATGCCACACAAAATTTCGCTTATATTTATCAGTCTGATAGCGTCGAAATACAGTCTGCCGCCCTCTGTTGTGGAGTTTTTACATAATTATTTTAAGAAAGAGGGATGAGGAGGGTCCAAATAATCATTCATTTTGACTATGAATATGTCGTTAAAATGAAAAATGAAGGCACACTTCCAAAAGAGAATTGTCTCCGATGTCATATAATATACTCATAGGTGGGAGACAATTGATCAAGAATAAGCAAGATACATACAATGAGTATAAAAATAATGACTTATAATAATAATGATAAATAAAAAATTCGGTTTTCTTTTTATTCAGATGGCAATATGATACGAAACTAAGTAGTAATAAAATGTCTAATCAAAGCTACTGTTGAACCTCGCTTTTTATTTATTTATATCCGCTCTGGTCTACCATTGAGCACTCTGCTTGTAATAATTGCGATAGTTTACTTCAGTTATATTTATGCTCCTTTTAAGTTGAGCACTCTTGGCAACTATTATCAGCATGGATTCAACTTGTTTTGGCTACTTGAGTAAGAACATCCCACTTCCATCTGCAAGGGACTATCTAAGAAATCTGATTGAAAAGACTGAGCACCTCTGCAGACACATGAGATGGAAAGCATTCTTTTTCTTCAACCCTGACTACAGCAATACCCAAGCAAAATACCCTGGATTCAAGTCTAACAAGACTCCATCACAGATTCCAGAGATGTTAAACTTTGAAAACAAGCTACTCAACATGATCGAAAACATCAAATTTCGTGACACTAACTGCCGCTTCCAAAAACAACTGTCATCTGATATCTTCAACAAAATTACGAAATCCGACGAACTCTTAGTGCCGGCCGACAAAACCACTAATTTATACAAAATGGACGCTTCTGCTTAGAGTGAACTGCTACACAAGAACATTACCAAGACATACAAGAAGGTGAGCCCTGTAATAACTAATTCTATTGAACGAGACGCCAAAAGCATCTCACAAAAGCTAGGCCTTGATGGCAAAATCAGCACCACAGCAAAAACCGAGGCATTCATAACACTCAAAGACCATAAACCCAACTTTGCTAACAACCCCACTTGCCGATTAATCAATCCAGCTAAATGTGAGCTCGGAGAAATTAGCAAGCAGATATTAGACAGGATAAATGGGAAAGTCATTGCAAATTCTAACTTAAACCAATGGAAAAACACTACCGCTGTCTTACAATGGTTCAATAACATCAAGTTTAGTCAGTCCTTCCTCTTGCATATGGGCAATTCCAAGCAAACATGGACATGACACCAAAAATTAAAATCTATGTCACAACTTTTTTTCCACTTCTAAGTTATAGCTAACATGTGTAAGTAAACAGAAATCAATTTTTTTTAAGGTTCTGTGTCGCATTGTGCAAAGGCAGACCTGGTTTCCCCAACTGTCCTTAGATTCATTAAAAATGAGCACACCAAGGAGATTTCTTCAAAGTTGTATATTTCCCCCAAAAAAGATTCTTTTCCCAAATGTTTGATATGTTTGATTAGTACCATGACCCATCTTTCATAATATAAAACAAATTCCAAGTTGCCTCTTCTATGCAAGCTGTACAGTGAGTGTGCCTGTCAAAGCTTCAGAGTGATGTAATGCGTTTCCATATGCTAATACAGCTGTCTCTTATACACATCTTGCTGAATATTATGAGATTCTGTATAAATCACATCCTGGCCTAAAGTATTAGTTTATAATCAAGCCAGACTGCTATACTAGTCCGTTATGTATGGTAAACTAGGCCTAGTTCTAGCAAGGGCCGCCTGAGTCGACGACGCACGAGTAAAACTGTCGCTCCACCGGCGGGCCAACGATAAATCAACATACCCTGTCTCTTATACACATCTAGATGTGTATAAGAGACAGCAATAACCGTGGTCACTTCAAATTTACCCATCACTTTTAGATTCATTCCCAATACAGTGTAACTTGGATTATATCAGGGTTGTTTATTCACAGTTTTAATACCTGTTTTTAATCAGTTTGTATTACTATAAGCAATTTTAGAATGTTATATTTGAGTTATGTCCCAATCTGGAAACTTAAGCCGCCAAAACTTTCCTGACAGTTAGCCTATATAAAGAAAATGCACATTTTGGCCTTGTCAGAAGGATTTTCAAGAGATAGCCTGTGCTGAAGTCAATCTAAATGTTATTTCTTCTTCTCTATGCAATTATTTCAGATGTTTACAAAGAATATGTGCCTTTTTGTAAAACTGAACACTCTTGGGGCTCCATATAGTGATGGCTCAATGAATGGACAAATTGTAATGCGACTAACCGTAATGCGACTAACCAGGGTTTTTCTTTCCACAAAATATACTTTAAGTTGCTTGCCAAATGTAAATACCCTTTTTTGAGACTTCTGTGTAGGAGTCATGTTTTGCATGCAATAAAACTGGAAAAAATTTTTTGGTTGGAGGAAACTGTTGAATTGTAATGATTGAATTTTTTGCCATGTCCTTTTTGCGTAATGCGACTAACCGAAGTTTGCGATGTCTCAGCATTTAAAGTACAAAGCCTGCCTCATTTCCAACAGCATTACTTTAAAGCCTTGGGTGTCAAGTTTAAATAAGTGTATAAACTTGAGTGAAAGATTCACCCCTGTAAAACTTATACCACCAAGTTTAAGAATTGACGCATAAAAGTGTAATGCGACTAACCGTGGAATCGCCCATAAAATCACGGAGAAAAATGGTAGCTACTTTGGTCTTTACAGAGAAGACGGTTTAGGAGTTACTAATACCACACCTCGACAGGTAGAAATAATCAAGAAAGATCTGTGCAACATATTAAAAAATCATGGCCTAAAAATCACAATTGAAGCCAATAAAAAAGTAGTAAACTTTCTTGATGTCACATTGAACTTAAATTCCGGAAAGTATATGCCATATTCTAAACCCAACAACACGCTGCTATACATCCACAGCAAATCCAATCACCCACCAGGAATTCTCAAAAAAAAGATCCCAGAATCAATAAATAGATGCCACTCCGAAATTTCGTACGACGAGCAATCATTCAATGATGCAGCAACACTTTACCAACAGGCCCTCAATAATAGCGGATACGATTATCAGCTCAAATTTTCACCACTGCAAGATCCCAAGAACGAGAAGGACAGCCAATCCCGCAAACGTAACATAATTTGGTATAACCCACCATACAGCATGAGTGTTGCCACCAATGTCGGGAAAACTTTCCTCAAGGCTTTAGACCAAGCATTTCCACCAAATCACACACTGCATAAATTGTTTAATCGGAACACTGTCAAAATTAGTTACAGTTGCAATGGGAACCTCAAACAGCCCATTGATGGTCACAACAAAGTAACCATAAACAAGGAAACAAATCAGCAAACCAGCAAAGGATGCAACTGCAGGAGCCCGAGGAATGCCGTATGTCTGGCCACTGCCTCAAAGAATGTGTACTATCAGGCAACAGTTACTACTAATAACAAACCAAACCAAACGTACGTAGGCCTCACAGAAAATGCATTTAAGACAAGATACAATAACCACAAAGCCTCATTCAAGAACAAATCCAAGAGACTTAACACAGAACTAAGCAAGTACATATGGGAACTAAAAGAAAAAAATATGGACTTTAAAATTAAATGGAACATTCTCAAACAAGGTAAACCATATAACCCATCATCAAAAAGATGCAACCTATGTATATGGAAAAATATTTTATAATTTGCAAACCCGAAATAGCTACACTTAATAAACGTAATGAACTTGTTTCAGCATGCAGGCATGCCAACAAATTTCTTCTAAGAAATTTTTTAATTAATTTTATTTTTACCCCCTCCTAGCATGTAAAATATTTCCTATGTAATTTTGCTACTTAACTTATGTTTATCACTTTAATCCCTTTCATTGCTATCAAACTTTAATCAGACTCATCTAATAGAACCCTTTGTATTACCGCTATACCTTTCTGTACATGTTCAATTTATATCAATTGTATTTCTATGTATTTTAGTCATTAGGCAATTTTATCTGAAGAGTGTCGCACCATGTGTGTGGTACGAAACTAAGTAATAAAATGTCTAATCAAAGCTACTGTTGAACCTCGCTTTTTATTTATTTATATTATAATATATATATATATATTTTATAAATATATATATATATATATATTCTAATGTTTTAAATATGGTATGTTACTGTAATATATTTATATCGTAATATATTTCTTTATATGTATGTATGTATATAAGTATTTACATTTGTCTATATTTTATTTATATTACTTATTAATTTAATTTTTATAGAATGAATTAATATTATTTAATATACTGTAGTTAATAGAATAAATATTACATACCTGTATATAAAAATTAAATAATTTATTCATACATATTTTGTTGTCATATACAACAAAATATGTTGTCATATATTGTTGTCATACATTTATTACTGTATATATTTATATTATTATTACCAGTATTAACAATTAATAAATTTTAACATGTATAACGACTATGAAAAATGCTTATTTATTACACTAGACCTGATCATAGGTAACTATCACAGCAGCCCGATTTAAGGGTCCCCACTTGCTAGACATTTTATTAACTGAACTGTAAAATGTAGTAGTAGTACGGCATAGGCCTAAGCCTAACTATGCCTATACACTATAGATAGGTCGTTTAGCCAGATATGTTTACCTACCTAGCCTAGGCAGCCCTAATAGTTTCATTAGCAATATTCCTACTATTTACCTAGCTACAACATGTTTTTTTTTTAACTTATATGTATAAACATGGATGGTGA